GGTGGATATGGGCCAATGTAATTCATTTATGCATTTAGCAAGGAGAGGGAAAGAAAAAGGCTATGGCACTCCCGAAAGAGAGCATAAAATGCCTTGCCTTGACAGCTTGCCTTCTAGTAATATAATTTGTGGATTCGAGCAGCTTTGAGTTATACTCTGCAAAGAACTATCAACAGAAGCATAGGTAAAGGTTAAAAGTTGAGCTCAGCCAGGAATACAAGAAAAAAACTATTAATATCCAATGCTAAATTAAAAACTTAGCATATAAGCACATAAATAGAGTTCGACATCATTATTTCAATACCAAGTGGTCACAAGAACAGCAGAATTATTTGTAAACATCTTTAAATGAAAAGAACTCAGAAACTATATAAATGCCCTAAGAATTTAATAGTGACTAGTGACCAAGTGATAGGCATAAAACATCGAAATGAAGAAGACCACAAAAGTGGACAACAGTTTACAGGGTGAAGATCATTATCAACAATGATGCAGTTCACTTAAGTACAAGCCACCTACCCAGTCGTAATTTTTAGAAAGAAATTCAGCTACTGTTGACTTATGCCTGGTCAATAGTTCCTGGAACGAGGCAGAAGAAAATGTGAGTTGAATTATGGTACTCCCAGCTCAATGCCGGACAAATAACATAATGCAAAAGAAAATAGCAGAACATCATATCTGCGAGTCAATATCCTATATTTGCTCAGCTATGACAAGTAAAGGCAGATTTAAAAGTTCATAATTTCACAATACAGTGACTTTTTATTGATTAAAAAGACAGATACATGAGCGAAATAAATAACAGAACTTAGCGTAAGCAATATACCCATTCTTCAAATAATGCAGAGTACAGAGGTACAAGAAATTTAATACTCTTTCTTAAGAACTTAGGATGTCCCAACATACATGGTCAAATTGTGGTAGATTCGCAAATTTCCTAGACGGTCACTTTTACAAGATATTGCGCAAAACCAAAGCATGTAAGTTTTTGCGATTTAAGAGCATTGGAAAACCTATATCGTATCCGGTGGATATATGCCATTAGTCAAGCTCCCTAATAAAGGTGGAGTCACCAGAAGAGACTCTTAAATTGAAGATGAGAAATGTAACAAGAATCTTAAGAGACAAAAAGAGTGAAACACCCCACCTCATCCCCCCCCCCCTTCTTCTACATCTGAAAAGTAGGAATGGTGGATCTCAATCAATAAATTTTTCAAAAAAGAGAAGTTCATATATGAAATTCAATGCTTTAATAAGGGGACTTAACCTTGAAAGTGGCTACAGCATCAGAAGCAATATCAAAATTTGGAAGTTGTATGTAATCAAAAAATTTCTTCATGTGCTCTGATTCCAAAACATACCTGTCAAAGCAAACCACATTTTAAAATTAAAATAGTTAAGCATCAAATTGTACCATTACACTAACGGGATATGATGCAATCACAACCCTCAATGACATTTTCGGTGACTTACAAACAAGGAACATCAATTCTTATACAATTTTTAAGCTTTAAAGGGACCTTAACATGACCGATGATATTGAAGCTTTCAAGAGACCTCAATATGACCCATAATACCAAAGAAATGATTTTACAATCAAACTTCTCTTAATAAATGATACAAATGAATTAAGTACTAAAAGAAACTAACAATTCAATGAATAGTAATGAATAATAGCTCAAGGGTTATGTGAGAAATTTTCATGAATATAATAATTAAAAATTTGGTTCAATTAATCAAAGGTTTTCAATATGAAGATGAAGAAGAAATAAATGCAATGTAAGTTTAAGGATTTTCTCAAAAAATTTCTCTTTAATGAACTAGAAAAACTTAGCATTGAATGCAAAAGAGAATTTTTTACGGAGAAAAATTCGCAAAATTTTCTGCGAGTTCGAATGAGGCTCCGATCGATTGCCACAAGGTTAGATGATCAAAATATAGTTGTTGGACAAAAATTCAGAAGTCAAAACAGTCAAAATTTTTACTGTTGGGATCGCTAGTCGATCGGATGGTCCGGCCGGTCAAAAGTCGTCCACTCAATCTCCAATCCTTTTGGCCCCGTTTGATCTGATTCGAATGTTTTGAAAAAATGTAGACTTTTGAAAGCGTTTTTAACTAGTTTTTCAAGATAAGTGATATTTTAAAGATATGATCTACGTTCAAATATCAGTTTTGAAAATCAATCTTACTTTTAACCAATATATTTTATGCAAATGATAATCAAAATAGCTTTTAGTACATTGCTAAAGATCAAAGTATTAGCACCTTTACATTTGAACTAAAAACTCTAGTCTTTGGTCTATTTTTGAAGTTTGTCTCTTCGGCTCTTGCATTGATCTTTCTTAGATGTTTGACTTTCAAGCACTTATCTTGAAGGATTTGTCTTGAATACTTGACTTTGATCGTAATCTTGAGTCCGATTTATAGTAATAGTCTTTGATTATGAACTTTTGATGACAATCGATCAATTTATCGTTGAATGATTTGAAGACTATGATCACTTAAATTCAATTGTTGATAAACAAAATTAACTTTTTTGTTATGATCAAAATTATACAATTAAAGTCAACCATAGGTCAACAATGAGACAATCAAATATAGAACACAGTTTGCATTTCATATCGTATTTATTTTTCATGGTAACTCAATTTCATGTTTAATAGACAAATAACATGAGGAAAAGGCAAGGACATGAAGTTTAAAGAAGCTCATTTAAAAGAAATAAGACCATAATAGTCCACCTTGAGCAGTTATTGAAACTAGGGGGAGGTGAGGACCCAACATTTTATTCGTCACCAGCAACCAACATTGATGATCTCAAGTGAGATAATTCAAAAATTTCTTCTTGTTAGTTAGATATAAAATATAAATAAAAATGGACTATTACCATTCTTTATATAATTTCCAAAAATATAACTTACTGTGGCAGTGTTCTCAGATGACTGATATTTCAATTAACTCAGATGGGACTCCAAATAATTTGAAAGTTACTTCTAGTTAATTTTTTATAACATACTATAAACAAATATGTGAAGGAGCATAAAAAATGAGTATTTACTCACCTAGCAACAGTTTGGTGGCGAATGCACTCCCTCAACATTGCACCATAATGTAATGCCAAATCTGTATTCTCATAACTACATGATCCAGCAGCAAAGTAATATTGACGTCAAACGCCAGTGGAAGAAAATAGGGTTTCAAGCAATATCAGAAAGAGGGAAGAAAAAAATAAATAAAATAAAAAATAACTGCAGCCTAGTTGGCCATACTCAAATCAGAGACAGAAATGTAGCTTCTTAAAAGAAAACTTTCACCAAGGACGATACCAGGAAAGAAAGCAACGAAATAATACTATTATCTCTCTCTTCAACCATCAACTAGTCACAACTTTTGACGTTCACAAAAAAATGGTTCCCCATATTCATATTTTTTATGCATTTATTTCATATCTTATTGGTTAAAAAATTCAAATAATAAAATTTGAAGGAAATATTATTTTTGAGTCAGTCTTTTTTTTCAAGATTCTATAAATAAATAACATATTATACCCCAAAATTTCTCAATTTGACGTCAAAAGAGAGAGAAAGTTAATGGAAGTGAAAAGCTCAGGACCCTCGAATATTCTATAGATATATAAAAATATCCAGTTACAATCACTGATATAGGATAGCCTCAGATTTATAGTTTTCAGGGAAGTTTGTAGTAGGGAACTTGTATTTGCATTTGCCAACAAGCAAAGTTTCATCTCATCGTGAAGAAGGCATGTAGAAAAACAGAGGCTAAGAGAATTGGTGGAAAAGAGTAAAGTTGTAGATTTGTTCCCTCACACAAGCAGTTCAAATTAATGTAGAGCTAATAGTTTCCAACCATTAGTGGAGATTTTTTTTTTTAAACTGGTGCTACAGCACCTCTCATGTTCACAGTAGCAATGCAATCCCAGCACATGGACAGGTGGACAAATTAACATGGTTTCTTGTAGTTGCAAAGAATTTCTTTTGATTTAACCTTTCAATAGGTCTAGATCCTATATCAAATAGAATTGCAAAAACATGATTGATGTAGACTCCAAGTTGATTGGGAAAGGCTTAGCTTCTTGTTCTTTTGACCAACTATCGTGAATTCTACAAAGTAAACTGCTCACATAAAGGAGAGGTGGGAGAAGAGAAATAATGCAAGTGTGTTTTGGGGGGGGGGGGGGGGGGGGGG